GGCAAGAGGGGCTTATACACTTAGTGAGATCTACTTGGCACTGTGGACCTGCACGTCCGGCGGGACACTGGCAAGTGTAGCCTCGCGGCCCAGTGTCAACGGGTTTACACACTTCATACTCGGCACACGGACGATGTCCACACGCATTTATTAAATCTTGACATTGACTGCCACCATATCCCTGTTCACAAACGCATCCTGACACGTGGGAGAATTTTGGTGCTACTAAACTTGCTAGTTGCGTATTGAATGGTACAGACACATCATCATTGATTTCAACAACGTCGATGCAAGAACCATGATTCATGCAGTGTGCTTCTCCTTTGCAAAGGGAATCCATTATCGTCAACAGCGGAAGATTTAATTTCTTTTGTATTTCGTTTTCCTTGACCCTTAATTGTTCAAGTAAATGTCCTCTGGAAAGGTAAGAACCTTCGGAATTTTCTACGACTATCAGCACATCTAAATTCCTTTGTATTTCTCTCTTCTTTCTTTCTTCGATCTGTTCTTCAACATAATCAGAATGCGAAACAGTTGGCTGAATACTTACGAGTATAACAGATTCCTCCTTAACAGCAAGTTCTGATTTAATGGCCCTAATGAAAGCTTTCTGATATCGAGAGAGAAACTCGGCTGGTGACACAGGGCCAATCCTGACGATGGCCGAGTTTTCTATCATGTCCTCCGTGATGACAGCTACATCCACCTTGGCCACTACGTCTTGCTCATACTTGCCATCTGACACGCTTATGTTGACGGTGTACGAGCCGGGGTCCAGGGGAGTCAGGGCCACTAAAGTACCATCCTGGCTGTCGATGTCAAAATATTTAACAGTTTTTGTGTCCAGAACGATGGAGTACACCAAGGTATCATATGGATCCTGGTCAAGGGCGGTTATACGCCCGATTATGCCGCCAGGGAAGGCGCTCCGGTAATTAATAACGGCGGCTTGCAGAGGGAACAGAGTGGGCGGGTAGCGAGACTCCTCGACCACCAGCACCTTGACCCGAGTGTCGGCGTACAGTGGCGGAGACCCGCTATCCCAGACTCGCACGTCCATCGAGTATTCATTCTGTACCTAAAAAAATTAAACAGAAGTAAATACAGTGGTTGTAACATAAACTCATATACACATACACACACACAGTCTCTCGCACACAGAGACACATACGAACACATACGAACACACATACACACACACACACACAAACACACACACACACACAAAGAAAGACACATAAATATATATATATATATATATATATATATATATATATATATATATATATATATATATTATATATATACACATATTATATATATTATATACATAATATATATATCGAATCCTTTTTGATAAACAACTGTATGCAGACTTGAATTTTGTCACATAGGGCAAGACTGGATCACAACGTACTCTTGAAACTGCACAATATCAAGTCGGCCTATGTCCAATACAGTGCCAGTAGCTTGTATAATTACGTTAAGCAATTTAACTGAGTAAACAAGAACAAATGTGATCATGGGAATACAGCCACCGACTTGCAGAAAAGACGGCGGTTAGCATCCCCCGGGCAGAAGGACGAGCGGCTTCCCGTTGCAGAGAGAGAAGGGAAGGGAGTCGGAGCCTGGGGGAGGAGCCTGGGGGAGGAGCCTGGGGGAGGAGCCGCCCGACTGCGCTCATGGCACCGATCGAAAGGAAGGCCGGCCCACTGCCTTCACTTCGAATCCCCGTGAACAGATGCTCAGTGAAATGAGCTCTGAGGCAACAGTATTGTTATTAGGCTCACTAAAGAAGACAGCTCTTGTTTTAAATAGTGGGCGAGTATCAGAGACAGTCAAGGAGTGAGAATTGGGAAGGTGGGAAGTGTAAATAAATAAAACTCCGGCTGGAGCGCAAACTTACTTCCAAGCTTACACAATGACGGACTATTAAGAAAGTCGACGACTCAGCGAATTATGAAATTGCAAGATAAATATGATAACTTAAGAAAATGAGATCCAGTGATGTTTCGTAAACTGAGAGTGAATGGGATACGAAAACGACTGAATTTTTCACTTGGCATACATGGGAAATATGTTTTTTTCAGGAAATAAACTGATTATATTACAGTAATAAGGGAACCTGAATTCGAATGATGGATGCTTAATAACAAGGTTGTTATCTGATGCATTTATTCTAATGTTTCATAAATAATTCCAGAGTGGACCGGAATTATCCGCGAAACCCAAACCGCCCCAACAAATCCACTCGCCAACGATCGCGGACGCCGACATTTCATTTGCGTCCCGTTAACGAGCCTTCCCTGGAAGTTCCCTGAACCCCCTCCAGGAGGAGCCTCTTATGACACTGATGAATGGCGACGTTCTTTTTACTTACACACACACACACACACACACACACACACACACACACACACACACACACACACACAAATACTCACTCACTCACTCACTCTCTCTCTTTTTCACACTCACATTCACACACACACGCGCGCGCACGCGCACTCACTCACACACACACACACACACACACACACACACACACACACACACACACACACACACACACACACACACATACACACACACAAACTATCTCATACTCACACACACATATACATACACACACACAGACACACACAAACACACATGCAACTCTGCTCGCAATGTGTGTGTATTGAATGTACACATGCACGATGTGTGTATGAATGCACACACACACACACACACACACACACACACACACAAACAAGCACAGATTTGCACTGCGCACGCGCGACCGGAACTCCCGGTAAAATTGTCAACATACATCGCAATACGATACAATAAAAAATGTTCTGCATGAATCTGTGAAATACATCTGAAAGTTTCTAAAGCATTACGAAGCGAAGAAATGTGTGTATAAACAATATTATTTGCAGAATAGCCAGTTACTTTTTCCATTTTATTTGGTTCTTCCACAATATTTTGCTTTTAATAAAAAGTCATACCAGTATATGAAGCAGTATAATGTTTTTTAGAGACTATTTTATGTGAAATAAGAAAAACATTTGTATCAAATGATGCGTTTACAATGTATCAAACGCATCAGTGTTAAGGGTTTCGGGGTGCTACAAAACAACAACTCCAGCAGCTTAACATTTCGCAGAAATTATTTGTTCTGACGGTATGCATTTTTTTCCTGAATTCATCTATACAGGGTAAAAAATAAGTAACACAACTTGCTTTATGGCTGCCTGTATGTCGCGACGGCGTAACGCTCCTCCAATTCGTATGCAATGCTTGTACATATCATGATCCCTGTTCTTTTTTTTCTTTTTCGTCGCCCATTTAACTATTAGAACCTATTTAATGCTAAAAATCAGCAGAAAATATCAAAGCTAACACAAATGAACAAAGTCCTCCTTATGTTAAATGAAAATCACGCCCTACGAAAAAAAGTTAAAAAAAATGCGGTTTACTAATACTTCCGCCATCTTTTGCTTGAACTAGGTCGCCACATCGCTCGTCGCGTGGACTACCAAGGACGCTATAGTGATAACACCAAAGAGATCAGTGGCTTGAGTTTTGCTGAAATTTATAGACTCTCACAGAACAGAGATGCTTGGAGGACCGCGGCAATTCGGCGGTGAATTGGCCGTTCTATGACGATGAAGGTCGCTCCGAGAGGGCAGCTGCCATAGCTGCCACGAACACAACCCTCAACGGCAAAAACTGTTTTTAGGTTCGCCTGCGTTTGCGTTGTTGAATGCAAAGCCGGTATTCATGTTCTCCAGAGAAGAAATACTCCGAAAGAAATACTAACGCGGTAGTTGAGTTTGTTCGTGGCAAGCCTGAGGGAGCCGTCCTGGTCGAGCGTGAAGGCGCGGTCTTCGTGGGCCTCGTTGATCAGCTCCCAGGTGAACGGGGCGCCGTGGGAGTCGGAGTCTGCGTCTGTGGCCATCAGGCGCAGCAGGGAGTAGCCAACGGGGCGGTTCTCCTGTGGCAGGATAAAACAAAGAAAATGTCAAAATAGAAGTGTCACTTATATCAACATTAACCTTAAAAGTAAGACAATTCATATAACAAGTATGTGTGTACGTATGTGTGTGTGTGTGTATGTGTGTGTGTGTGTGTGTGTGTGTGTGTGTGTGTGTGTGTGTGTGTGTGTGTGTGCGTGTGCGTGTGTGTGTGTGTGTGTGTGTGTGTGTGTGTGTGTGTGTGTGTGTGTGTGTGTGTGTGTGTGTGTGTGTGTGTGTGTGTGTGCGTGTGTGTGTGCGCGTGTGTGTGTGAGCATTTTTGTAGCAGCTCAGAAACCACTAACACTTTGATACATCTACCAAACATGTTTGCCTTTTATGCATAAGCGAACGTTATTCTTTTCGTTTTGTATGCCTCTACTTTGATACAAAGTGATACATTCCGGCCAGCCAATCAGAGTGTGATATTTTTCAGATATATTTCACGTAGTCTCAGACAGCTATTTAAATTTTCATTAATTACGAATTGCATCGTATGTTCCATGATGCAAATTTCTTATTTAAAGGTACATAAAATGTTTATCTGCCTTTAGAGCAGTACATCAAATACGAATAAATTGAAGTCAATCATGACGGTTGCTGTAACGAAATAGTAAGAATTTCCAACGTGTCTGAGTCCTATGACATGGTAATGAATTCGGTGGGATAGATATCTTCAAAATCATTCTGTATTTCAATTATACAATCTTACAGGCTCAAGAATTTCAATTGGATGGCTATGCATCTTGATTTGTTGATATATAGCATGTACTAAGAGAAGCCAATGCCTGTGATATTTGAATCATCCAGGTGTCTGAGATTCGGACTCAAGCTCACTCGCGGCGAATACGATAAGATGCAAAACTTCCACTTTCCATTTAAAGAACAAAGAATGGAAGAGTGGTGTGTATAAACAATATAAGAGTAATTAGGCACGATGTTTTGCATGTATTAAAAAAACAACAACTGCAAATTAAATACTTTGATGGATTTCTATTA